GGAAGAAACAAGCATAAGCCACGTAAACTTAAAAGGGAGCTTTTATGTTAATTTCCAGCTCCATAATTGAATTCTTTTACAGTAGAATCCATTTTCCAAAATTCATATAGAATCTTTATGTAATCTTTGTTTTAGCTCTTCTTTGTTTAAGCTAGCTATCTTCTGATTGGCTGCTCTTCACAAACAGAAGGTCTAAACAGAAGATGGGTGGGACTTCTGTGTTCTCAGCAAATGTGCCTGAGACAACTATTTTAGGTATAGTCAGGGTTAAAGAGGGATGGAAATATCTGGAACTGTGCTCTTGTGTGTGCTCAGTTAATGAGTTATTAATCTGATAGGGAGGGTAATGAATGTCATTACTAAATGAGGTTATTTTTTTGTGTGGTGCAAAAAGGAAGCACTTGCTTAGTAAAAATAAGACGATAATGAGATCCCACCTTCAGCATTCCCCTCTTTCCTTCTCTTCCGTGTAATACGTTCATGGTGCAGAGGTAAAGTTGTGGTTGTGGTAGTTCGCAATCTAGCTAGTGCCACAGAGGAGGAGAGGGTATAAACCGAGTAGCATTTTCACTTTTACTTGCACAAACACTGAACTTATTAATCTGAGAGTTTGACCAGAAAATATGACAGACAAATTACCAAAAACCTGGCCCCCTTCAACGTGCAGTGCTATACAAGCGAGCTCTACTTAATTTTAAAAGAAATACACTTTGTATAACTTGACTTCAAAATAACTCGCAAATACCAGCCTATCAATGTAAATAAGAACTTCTTAATGTTAATTCTTAATGTCTTGCCTGTGCTGAGGCTCCTGGCCTCCAGTGACCCCACAAGGTACATGGTTAGGAAAAGTATGGACAATAGAGAGGACATTTAGCCATTTGAATCAACTGTGTTGGATCAAGGACGCATCTAAAACCTGCAGGACACCCGGCCCTTGAGGCCTGGAGTTTCCTACCCCTGATGTAGCTCATTGAATAGTGTTAAATACATAATAATAATAATCATTTTTGGGTAATGAAAAAGCATACTTCTAACATGCACAATAAACAAATGTCTTAACCTTTTTGTGTTGACTGTCACGTCTGTTTTTTATAGCCTATAGCACAGTTAAACAACACAAGATAAGTTGTTTAAGTGCTTTAAACACGGGCACATTCATGTCCCGAGTACCCATAAAACCCAGTTTCAAAATATATGAAAAACCCAAAGATGAGTTTTTACCATAGAGTAGAAATCAGTATTTTTTAAAATGTGTTGAGAGTTTGGCAAATTATCCTACATAGGTTTTTATAGGTCATTTATAAGCACATTTAAAAACGACACAGGTTGACCAAAGTGCTGTACAAAGTAAAAAATAAAACAAACACTGTCACGGTTCTGGATCATTTTGACCCAGTTCTTTCAGTTTTTTATATTTTGGTATATCTCTACAGTATTGATTATTATTCTAGATTAAGTTCAGTGTCTGTCTGCCTCCTTGTAAATTGTTTCTTGTTTCCTGTTTTACTTTGGAGGTTCGTGTCTGGTGTCAGTGTGTTCCGGTTACATTTCCCGTATCGTCAGCTGTGATTTCTCCTCTGCTGTTCATCTGCAACCTGCAAATAAAGCTGTTTACTTTGAGTTCAACTTCGCCTCACTGAATCCTGCATCTCGGGTCCTTCCTCCTTGCCTGCCGGTACACAGCCATGACAAAGAGAACAAAACAAACACTCAGTCACAATTAAAAGCTAGGGAGTAAAGATGTGTTTTCAGACGAGATTTAAAAATGTCGAGTGTTGGAGAGATCCTAATTTGAAGAGGCAGACTGTATTAAAGTTTAGTTTAGTTTAAGATCTGGTCTCCTCTGTATTTTCGTCTGCCTCTAGGAACAATCAGAAGCAACTTATCAGCTGACTGAAGAGTTCTACTTGGAGAACTTTTTGTTAAAAGATCAGAGAGGTATGAAGGAGCTAATCCATTCAGAGACTTAAAAACAAGCAATAAAATCTTAAAATCAATTCTAGAGCGTACTGGAAGCCAGTGTAAACGAGCCAAGAATGGGGAAATAGGGTGATGGTCACCTGTCAAGAGTCGGGCTGCAGCATTCTGAACAAGCTGAAGACGACAAAGCGGAGCCTGGCTGATACCAAAATAAAGACTATTACAGTAATCAAGCCTGGATGAAATAAATGGATGAATCACTTCCTCGAAGTCAACAGATGATTAAATGTTCTTAATTCTCAAATGAAAAAGTGCCATCATTTTTGGCAAAGGGAGTTCTGGACTTTTCCAGATTCCAGATCACCCTTAAGAGAAAAACGAGGGTCAGAAGGTCTATATAGTACAATCTCTGTTTAGTATTAAGGTACAAGAAATTTAATGCTAACCATGATTTAATAATGTCATAGAGGCGGTCTAGCAAAACTTTTAAAGAGCCTATAGAATTATTTTTAAGAGGAAAGTAGATTTGAGAATCATCGACATAACAGTGAAATGAGATTCCATATTTTCTGAAAACAGAACCTAATGGGAGCATGTAAAGGGAAAAAAAGTACTGGGCCAAGGATAGATCCTTGAGGGACATGCAAGCGGGGTGGATGTGGATGAAGAGCCACCAAACCTGGCAGAAAAACTTCTGTCAGTTAAATAAGATCTAAACCATTCAAGTGCAGTGCATATTTACTAGGTGTTGGATCTATACCAAAATTTGCAGTATCACACAGGACTAACGGACAAACTTTTCTCTTGAAACTTTAGCCATTTAAAAAATAAGTGAAATTAGAAAACTACAATCAGTTAACTAAAGACACTGACTGCATTTCCAGTGCTCAGTGTGAGGAGATGATCTCCTCACACTGAGCACTCCTCAACTTGGAGGTAGAAAATGATTTGCCAAGATGTTCAGGTTCCAGGATCTCAGCCAGTTTCCTCACTGGACTGTCAGCAAGGACCTTCAGGTCTTGCTTGGCTATTATCCTCCCATAGATATACACACACACACACGTATTCATGCAGTCCTAGAGAGGAATTTCTCTTTTTCACCTTCAGTCACCCCAAACTCTAAAAATCCTCCAGTCACCTAATTAACTTTCTCTCTCCCATTTCCCCTCTCAACTCTCATCTTCCTCCCACCCTTCCTCTTTCTCACCATCATTCAGGCATCTGTGGGGGTGGCTGTAGAGATAAGCAGAGACTTTATCTGTCAGAAAGCCAATTCAGAATGGTTGACACAGCACATCTGATACACATCTCATGTGTCCTGTGTGTGTATGTGTGCACGTTCAGAGGGGAGTGTGTTACAGAACTGGCTTACATTAACAATTAAGGCAGTTTGAAATATAAAAAGAGACAACAATTAAAAAATACCAGCCCAGTAAACGTTTTCTTATTGAGCCTTTGTAGACATGTGACCACTAACCACATGGCATTAACTAGTCGGTCATTTTGGACATGTGACAAACACGGGGACAGTGTAGAATAAGTGAATAAGGCCCCCAGTCAAATACCTGTTGTTAGGGAAAAATCTGTATTCCCCAACTGATAGGCAAAAACCTTCTTATGATTACTAGCATATTGCTGCGGTCAAAGTTTGAATGGAACTGACAGACTTGTCTACAACAGCGTCCAGTTACTCTCTGAGCTTTAGTGAAACAGTGTAAAGTGTGAGACTGTTTTCCTTCAAAACCTTTGTAGGTGAATCTCCTCCAGTTTCAGTTTGTGTAACACTTTATCAAGTTGTACTACGGCTAGTATGTAGAGGATATTTGCAGACTAACATGAAAAATTACTGGCAACCATGGCAGTGTGCTAGCAATCAAAGCAATTACAGCTCTTTCTTCATCCAGTGAGAGCCAGCAACCTACACAAACTACTGCCAGCCACCTGGGCAGTACTTGTTTCTCAAGCAACCAGTGACTGTAGCACATGAGAAAATTGAATTGCCAGTTTACATCCATTCAGTAAATTACTGCCATCTTGTGACTGCAATTAGCTTCTGTCAGTAGAAGCTAGCTTAACTTGGAGCCACCGGAATACATAGCTTCTGTCATTTTAGTGGGTGTGACCCATGGACACAGGTTGGATCTTGCCAAGCTGAGTGGCTCGGTTCAAGCACTGTGGATAAGCCTGTTGCCTTGGACATGAGACTAGTTTGATATCACGTGCTTTGGGCAACACGTGTTAGCCAAGACGAGTCAGAGCTTATTATTCATAAAAACGTAACTAATTTGACTAAAAAGAGATTCAGGTGATGGACTGAGGACATAACTCTTATGATTCTGTGTTTGATAAAATGGGCGGTTTGCAGACTCTACCAGTATCTTCACATTAGCGTGTATCAGAAACTAGCTAACCAAATGGTGTAGCTGGGTTGTTCTGAGCTCATAGAAAAGCTATTTGTTTGGGTGGGGGTGTAGAAGGTTTATGACACAGGATAGCCAGCCTATAAACATCTGACTTTTAAAATCACTGTGGATTAAACAGAGTATAGCCTTAAACATCTGCAAGTTTCTAAAGTAATAACGTTTCACAATTCCTTATCCAGGGTGTAGTGGAGAGACGTAAAGACGTCTATGCTGACTGCACGATGCAGGGCGCTGTCAGCATATATAACACAATAAAAGACAAGCAGCATGAAACAGTGTTTTTGAAGCTGATCCAATTTGTTTTGTTGGTGTTTTAAACATTATCAGCTTCCTTTCTGTAAAAACCACATTAGTGTCCGTGTGGGGGAGAAAGAACAGGATGTAGCAGCAAATCACAGTCACATGGTACACAGTCGAAAACAAAATGAACTCACCACAGGCACTTTGAAAAGGTGACTCTTTATTTTCTAATATTATGATGTATATAATATCCTTCATATAGGTAATCATATTTATACCACGTAAGTAAAAGTGTGCTTTTAATCACAGCATGTGTCCGTGTCAGACTGCTGTTAGTTGGAGGTTTACATTATAAAGTATACAGTGAAAATGGCTGGCATCTGTGTGT